TAGTAGAAGAAAATCAAAATGGTATTATTTATTAGGAAACCAAAGAAAAGAAAATCAAAATGGTATTATTCATGAGAAAAAATGTAATTAAATACTTATCAGATAGAAGAGACAGAAAGATGTTGGCTTGTTAAGAATTGTTTTGAGTGCATAAAAAACAAAAAGAACACCCTTTTATTTCAATATCTGGATATTACAAGGACTTCCAGATTCAACATGGTCATTTCATACTGTTTGCCATGTACAGAACAATGCATCTGAAGTATATCTTGAAAAGTCTATTGGAAAATGGAATGGAAGCTGACAAAGAATTCACAAAAGTCTCCATAGATGCTTTTAAGCAGTCTACAGTAAAAAATAATATGTATTTAATGTTATCTATTATGTATCCCTGGCACTTTACAATGGAACATGTATCAGAAACAAGACTCAGAAACAAATCTCATTTCCAAGGAAATGCAGTTTAATTTTGACAGAAGGGAGATGTGGCTATGATGAGTGCAAGAGTATGGAGAATAGCAGAAGAAATGCCAACTGTTAGGGATTCTGGGAGTACTTATTTATTTTATTCATCAAGATAATGTCCTGATATTTTACTGAATACTAGAGAATAATCTGACTTACCTACAGTAGTTACACAGTTTTCAGTCTTATTTACTCCACATAGTGGGATTACCGTTGTACTAAGAGTGGTTTGAACTAGGTGCCATCCTAAAAAAAAAAAAATCAGTTTTAAGAGAAATACACTTCCAGAAAAAGTTTCCATGTCATCATTGTTCATACCACTTTACTTCACCTCAAAGGCTGATGTGATAGAATGTGCCATCTACAAATTCCCAATCATCACTGACACACAGTAGTCCCAATTTAAGGAAAATCTCAGGTTAAAGAATAAGTTACCCTATTTCTAGATTCATAATCAAATTTATAAAGATTTGTAGAAGACAATAGAGGTGATGGTGCAAACAAGGAGAATATCACATTCTTGAACACTGAGAAAAAAACTACTGATTCAATTGTGCATTGAAAATTTTGAATTCATTTCCTTGGCCCCAGGATTTCTAAACTAGTTTCAAAGTTCAAGGCACAACTGAAATTGTTTGGAAATTGTAATCAGAGAGGCTCCAAGAAGAACTCTGTTGCCTAAACAGACTTCGCAGAACAAATTTCTCCAATTTATGCCTGGATGGTGGCCCATTATTGTTATCAGATGTACAAAAAATATCCCCAGTAGTTGTATATAATGTTTAACAGCATTCCTTTTACTATCAAGTTTCCCTTTTCCTACTGCTCTGTTCAAGTGTTGGGTCAGAATGTTGCATAATGGATGAAGTTAAGATGGTGGAGAAACTGCATATCCTGGAGTAAAACAATAACAATAACAAACTGAGCACCTCCTGTTGAGATGGGTTTGGCAGATGAAGAAAGACCTGATGTATATAATTAGGAGATGAAATAAGTGACTGTATTTTTTTGAGAAAAGCTCTGAATTTTCTCAAATTGCAGAAAATATGCAGAAAGTGACAGTCAAACCAAAGTAATTCTTGAGCCACTGAACAACTCAGTTAACAAATATTTTAATCGAGGAGTAGAAGTGTTGATTTAGGCAATTTGCACTTCTAATACCTCAACACAATTTTTGGTAATTTCAACAGTTCCTTAATTTATGTTGTACTGAGGAACACATTTTAAAATTGAACTTGAATAGCAGAAGATCACAAAGTTGCTGAAATTTTTATGACTGATGAGTTAAACTGGTAAAGATATTATCTTGAGAGCTTTCATTCAATTTTAATTAAATATTAAATTGTCTTGGTCCTTCTGTATTTAATAAGGTTATTATTAAAGTTAGAAATGAATAATTATTGGAGAATTTCTGGAAGCTGTATTCTGAACTATTGAATATTGTATGAGGTACCAAGTTCTTTAGATTGTAAATACTTGGCTTAACATAATGTGTGAACACAACCTATGAATTTTTATGGAGTAGATAAACTCATTTTTAACACTAAACCATATTCAGCAAAGTTTAAATATCAATTGAAACATAGGGATATTGCTGGCTAAGAATGTCAACAGCTGTGATCCTAAGAAAATGACAGATCTTGATTCTGTCACTTACGATTTGCTGTCCAGAACAAATATATTTAATGCGAGGTAGCTCAGCAGCTTTCACTGATACAGGAATTAGGATGTATAGTTAGCATGACTATATTGACTGACTGTTCTGATTTTATTAGACTAATTATGCATTAGCTGCAATGGGTACCAGTTTCTTTATGGTCCAATCCAAAGTGATATTATAGACTTGTAGATTCTTCAATAGTTAGGGCCAAATTAAATTATGGCGAACTAGTATATGAATTTGAATTTCCCAAGCAACCATGGAGATCCTACATGAGTGACTTCAAGGAAGGATAGAGTCCTTTGACTGGAGCTCATTCTTATCTTCAGGATCTAAGATAATCTGATCTCCAAATTTTCTCAGAGGTTACTCCCAAAGAGTGATAAGAGGCTTAGTTATTCTGACTTTCCCATCTGAACCTCCCCATGCTAGTCCCCTCAAGCCAGCAAAAATGCTTTGCAGAGCAAAGTAGGACTTGAAAGAAAATGCTATCAGATTTGGTGCCAAGCTCTTGATGACCATTAGATGGAAACAATAACTCACCATTTGCTGCCATCTAGAAGTTATTGGAATTCTGCATTCTAGCCCTATTCAAGGAGAATTAATTAACCCAATTAACCAAAACAGAGTTTAGCTTTAATTCCAGCTAAATTTAAACTTGTTTATAGCTAATCTTTCTCCCCAGATAGCTACTTATCAGAAGGCTAACCTATAGTTTTAATTTCATCTCAAGTCCTGAAGAAAATTGGGAAGTCAGGGTTTCTTTTGATATTTTCAATCTTCCAAGGCCTACTCAAGGGAAAGGTTGATATTTAAATTCATGAATTGAATTCCCCTCCCCTATGGAAAATGGCTTCTGTGCAATTTGTTGATCAGTTCTTCTTTCCTCCCAAACAATATAATCTATCGTTTCTTCTTTTGGAGAGCTTGCGGAAGAATGTCCAGCCACATGAAAATATTTATCCACACTTTAACTTTTGAGGACCATGGCAAAATAGTCTTGAAATGGTATGATCTTATCTCTTCACTCTCCAAAAATTAAATTTGGTTGAAGCTGCAATAATTATCTTCTGGGTCAAGTCTATAAAACACAGATTCTGGATCCTCAGGGATAAGTTTCTCTTTCTTGTGCCCAGCCAGAAGTATCCCTTCTATCACCCCCAAAACAATGATGCTGTACAGCTAACACCTTTTCTACTTCTATAACAAAACCACAGGGCATCTGCAGCAGGAAATTCTTACACGGGAATGACCCATAAGCACTCTTAGGACATGGTGTCCCATTTATTTAACCACAACATAGCTTTGCTCAGCAACATCTCTACTTGCCACATCCCCCTTGCATTAACTGTGTACTGTTCCCAGTTTGTGACCAAGTGTTAGAGGGTTCTCCGCTTTCCTATTACCTTTAAGAAGTTACCTACCTCACTTTGGTGAGGAGTTAAGTAACTGGCAATGACTAGCAAAAGAGGCTATAGAGACATGAAGGCAGGATCGAAAGCAGTGTAAGCTGTCGTGCCTTTCGCCTGCCCCGGGCGGGGGCATTCACGCCGTTGGTCAGCGGCTGGAAAAGAACCAAGGGCAGCTTACCCAAGAAGAGCAGGGCCCCTGCGAGGCTCTGAGAGGTGCAAGTAGCCATTTGTCCACCGCCACGGAGCAGGCTGTCTTCGATGCCGGGCAGTTCTTTTACGTAATGTAAAGGACTGACGCCAGGTTTCTGCTTGCCGTCGAATGAGAGCTCTACACTTCTGCTACGATCGGCACGCCTTCCCATTTTATAGCCTCCGGATCCCGGGGGCGGGCGGAGGCAGGAGTAATGCGATTAATTTCTATATGCAAAGCGCTTGAATTTCCCCGCTGACGAAATCGCCTTTCCACAGAGGGGTGAAGGCAGGGCTGCTCCCTTCACCTGCCTCGCTCTAAAAAGGCAAAAAGGAAGAGGGAGGGAACGCGGCCCGCTCAGATACGACCGCGTCGAAAGACGCGTCCGCGGAACCTTGACAACTTCTGTTGGGAAATAGGTGAATGTGTCCCCGATTTTTTCCCCCCGTTAAATTGGATTCCAGTAGAATCTCGAAACAGCCTTTCCTTCGGCCCCAAGAGCTCCAGCTTAATGGAAAACAGAGATCTAAGAGATTTAAACTTGTACATGCAGACTTATGAGGTAGGAGTACAGTGAATGACTTTCCTCTAGTCAGCAGCATAGTTGAATGTTGCAAGCTGAGGAAATCTGATCTATCCCATAACTCTAAATAGTTTGACAAAATCCCTGTCTCCAGGGATTTCTGTGTGTCTGTGCATATATGTAAAAAAATATCTTAGAATATCTCATCCAACTTTCCAAAGTGATCTATCTGTTCATTGTCCTTCCAGGGAATTCATACTAGCAATTCTCACAGCTAAACTCAGGGTTAGTGAGTTTGGCTTTGGTTTGCTCAAGAAACAAATTTATAATTAGTTGTCAAGCTATCACCATGATGGAGCCTGCCAATTATGGTCATAACTCATACCAGTAAGCCAGGCCGTTAACCTGATTTTACAACCTTTTTGGTTGTGATTGATAATTAACTAACACAGTTGTTAAGTCAACTAATGGTTCCTTATTGTGTAGGCTTGCCAAAAACCAGAAAATGCTTTTTTTTAACAATCATTTGCATATCATAATATATGCAAATGATGGTAAATGCAACCTGGTTGCCAAACACCCAAATTAAGGTTACATGACTGCAGAGGTGGGGGCAGAGTTGGAATATGGAATACAGGTTGCAAGTATTCCCAGGAGGTCAGTCGTAACTTCAAATGGTCGTTAAGTGACTACTCATAAGTTAAGGACTACCTGTAGAATTCTACTCTGAATGTGACAACTTAGAAATGTATAGGATCAGTTGGAAAAAAAAAACCAATCCTACCTGTTCCAGCCCTTTTTTCCCCCCAAGAGGCTCTTAATCTTGCTGATATACTGTAGAGGTCAAATATGTCAGTAGATTTTATAGCTGCCTTTAGTTGTCATGTGGACCAAAGCCTGATGTTTAATTGAAAGAATAATTTTAAGCTCTGGGATTAGTCATAAAAAACTAGACAACCATTTCACGGAATGATATCACCAAGTCTGATTCCAGTTCTTACATTAAGGGATTTCTTTAATGCCTGTGCTTAAATCAACCCAAGGAATCAATGATCTGAAAAGAGCCATTTGTGGAATGTCCTGTGTCAAGAGAAGGGAAACCCAGTTCCCAGGTAACCTTGCCAATAACCTTTTGTGGCATATAGCATACCTTAGAAAGAATGCAGCGTAGAGTGGCGCTGGCTAAGGCACTGTAGTGTGGTTAGAAGAACATTAGGTCTGTTTGTAGCATCCCAACTCAAAACAGAAGGAAGTGCATTCCAAAGTGACAAGTAGGCTTAAATTACACCCACCCCCTGCATTTACCTCTGAGAAAGCAAACCTTGGAAATAATTAATAACCAGCAACAGAGGAGGAAATTGACAGAAATATAGAAGGCAGACAGAAAAAAAATCTTCCCTCTTCACCTTTCCCACTCCCCTCATCTCCGCAATGAAAGCTATAGAATCAATCTATAGTGTTTTTGTGTGATTATTTACTGAGAATATTTCCCTCTTGTTTTGCAAAAAAACCCAACCCTTTAAATTAGAATAGAAGAATAATCTCTTAATATATAATTTTATAAAAGAAAGTTTTAAAAGAATATAAACCATACAAACAAATTCTCTGGAAAGGGCTCTAATGTTAGGAAAGGTGGAATGAAGGGGAAGACAGCTAGCAGCAAATTGGATATATTCAGTTACAATAGTGATGAATGCGCTGTTAGATGTAGATCAGGGGTGTCAAACTCAAGGCCTCTGGGTCAGATCGGCCTGTGGGATGCTTGGATCTGGTCCGTGGGACTGCCCTGGAAACAGCGAAGGACCGGTCTGCAGTGCCTCTGCCAGCAAAAATGGAGCTTGGGGGGGGGCTGCATGTGGCCACACCCACCCTCCAGTCCCTGAGGTCAAACACAACCCTGATGTGGCCCTCAATGAGATCATGACACCTCAATGACACCTCTGGCGCAGATCATCATGAAGAAAATCTGCAGGATTTGTCCAGGCTGTCACCAAAAGCCTCCAATGGCTTGAAGCCCCACAAAACCTGATTAACTATGATGATCAAATTTACCACAAAAACAAAAGCTTCATTGACTGCAGGCTTTTTCTGAGTTTAATTCAAATTTTCTATTTTATCTGAGAGAAATTGGCATCTCTGTCACCCAGGTCTCAGCAAAGAATTTCCTGGGTGTTCCACCAACAAATGATTGAAGAAAGAATACATTTAACTTATAACACTTTTATTTATATAACATCAAACTTAAATCACCCAGTCTCTCTCAGCTTTTTTTTACTAGTTTTACCTGATAAATTTGGGCTATGAAAACATAATTGCTAATTCATTAAATATTTTATGCCTAAACAAATAAGACATATTGTGACTTTGCTTAATGGTTTGATTCACACAATATATTAAAACAGTGTTGAGTTCTGACCACACATTGAATCACAAACTATTCAACTCCTTTTCAGCCTTGTCTACTGTATTTGGGAACCTAGTCATAATTTAGCCATAACTTTTCAATGCAGAGTTTGAATACTGCCAATGAATCCTTTGGACTGTACCATTTACCTGCTGTAAAATCTGCTGATTTCTTAGCCTCTTATCTCAATGTATAAGCCATCTTGAAAGCCATCTTAAAGGAAAGATCGGATGAAAAGTTTTATTGCATAGACAAATAAGCCACTTTTGTCAAGGTTGGCATCCAACAAACCAGAAGTTTCCCCAATTCAGTCCATGCAGTTTCTAGTGATAGAATAGAACTCCAGCATTGGAGTTTACTCTGGATTTACTCTGGAGATCGCTGCAGAGGTTGCGGAGGGGGTGCGTGGGAATTGATTTCAACCATTTGGGAACATTTCCAAGCAATCACAAAAGGGATATTATTGAAATACAGAACTTTAGTCTTATTTGAGTATTACTACAACATTGGACAACTAATCTCCTGGTAGCAAGCTCCAGTGAACCCTTTTCAGTTGTACTGGACTTTTAGTTATAAGGAATTTGAGTCCTGTTAAATTTAGTAGAACTTTATTTTGTGTAAAAATGTTGTAGATCCCATCAGCCAAAGAGTAATAGCTGGCAGGGATTAGGGGATTAGGAGATGTGCTTTTCCCACAGTGGCCCTTGTTCTATGGAACATCCTCTCTTTAGAGATTAGGATGGCCCAACTGTGTTACTTTTTTATAAGGCCCCAAAATCCAGGGTATGTTCCTGAGCTTGGATGCTGAATGTATAAAGGATCCTACTTCCTGATTATGTTGCTAACTGGCAATGTACCTGGGTTGCCTTGTATGCTTATTTTGTATGTTTCTATTGTTTTTAATGTTTTTAGTGTTTTGATTGTAATATATTTTTTGAATTGTAAGCTGTTCATAGTCATTGACTGAGATGGGTGGCTATAGAAATTGAATGAATGAATGAATGGCTCACAGATAGCCTATAGCCGTTGTTTCCTAGCTGCAGAGGACACAAAATTATAAAATGGAGTTTTCTCATTGGTGAGTCATGCAACTTATTTGCAGTCTAAAGAAGGTCAAGAGAGAAGGCAGAATATAGTGTGTTCCTACATGTTTTTATGATATCACCACATATTATTCAAGGGAGGATGTTGCCTGAATTTTAGGAAATGCAGACAATTAGCGTCAAGAGTTCTATCTGATGGGTTTGAGTAATACACTGCTTGTCAGTTCATGTTCACAGGATATTATATGGCCCATATGTTCTCAGATGGATGCTAACCTATAGTAATGTTGAGATATTTTCTGCAGTAGATTTTTGCTTTAAAGGGTATTGGTTTTCAGTTTTCTGAACTGAGTTTTTGAACTTAGTCTGAAGGGTAGATCTCCTTCACTGTATGCTAATTGCAGGAATTTTTTTTGTTAATATTCCATTTTGCTAAACAAAGAAGTGTGAAATTATTGTGAAACCAGTTATTCATAAAGGAATTTTCCCATCCTACTTGTAGGACAGGATCATTTACCGATCTCTTACTCTGTAATTAAATTCTTTTGTAGACTCTTGTTTGTTATTGCTAGGGAAACAGTTTTTGCCCTGGACATCTACTTAATATTAACACAACTGAAGCAATTTACAGGAATTCCTCCTTTCTTATTTTTAATATAATAAGCAGCAAGCATCATTCTATATACACTGATTTCCATTAACTTGCCATTTTTTTAAGTCTTGACTACTGTTTCTAATACAGCTTTTGTCAACCATCTGAACTTGGTCAGTTAGAAGAGAAAGATTCTCATGCTCATGGTTAGCGCAAGGTATACTTTACTAAAGCAAAGTAGTTATAGAAGAAACTAAACCAGATCTGAGATTTTTGTAGACAAAGCATATGGTTAACTTTCCCTTGTTCCTGTCCATCCCACCAGTTATCAGAGAATATCCAATTAGGTTAGGGGTGTCAAACTCAAAGCCTGTGGCCAAATCCAGCCTGCAGGTGCTTAAACCTGGCCCGAGGGGCTGGCCTGTAAATACCAAAAGGCCAGTGCCCATGGTGCCTCTGTCAGCCAGAATGGGCCATGGGGGTCCCACATGCAGCCCCTCACTGCCCATTTTTAGCCTCCCCAACTTCTTGCAGTGAAAATGGACCAAGTGGAGACCCCAAGAGGATCCTGCACCACCCGTTTTTGGCCTCCCTGGCCTCCAGCAGCACACTGATGCAGGTCTGCAGTTAGCAGTGTCAAGCTCCACAACTTCTGAAGGTAAGCTGTTCCACTGATTAATTGTTCTAACTCTCAGGAATGTTCTCCTTAATTTATGTTGGATCTCCCTTTGATAAATTTCCATCCATTATTTCTTGTCCTGTCTTCAGGTGCTTTGGAAAATAGGTTGACTTCCTCTTCTTTCTGACAGCTTTTCAAATACTGAAAGACTGTTACCATGTCATCTCTAGTCCTTCTCTTTGTTA